AACAATTTTGTTTCTGTGATCATTATGATACAATATCATATGGCCTTTTAACACAATCATTTGCACTGATATCACAACTCACATACATCCAAATTAGAAGATAATCTTGATAAAAAAAAATAAAAACAGATGACTAGATCAGGACCAGCCCCAGAACCAGATGAGAGTGTAGAGGAAATGAGACAACATGCAGCAGCAGAAAGTCTGTGAGAGGAGCAGCAGCTCTCCAGGTCAGCCTAGGAAGATGCAAAGCACCTCCTGGAGCAGACGAAGCTCACAATGTTCCTCAGAGTGAGCATTGTGAGCATAGCTCATCTAAAGTCATAAAATCACTGCTGTTCTGCTTTCCAGGACACACTGTACCATACTCTGGAGGTACACAACTACTGTGAGGCCCAAATACAGCTTGGGCAATTCCCTGTCTACTTGAGCAAAGACAAAATAATTTTTTTATCATGTCATATTAATCATTAGCTTTGTTGTGGCTTTGTACATATTTCTGTTACGTTGTTTTTATATTTTAACCTTTTTGTTGTAAGAATGTTTTTGGAACATTTTAACCCAAAACTCCGTCTTCTTTAGTTACAAGATTGTTCCTGTTTAATAAGTGCTGATATTTAATTTTTTTTTTAAGTTATCAGCATAAAAAAATTCTAAGAAAGTATACATTTTTAATCAATATTCCTAAAGTCACACCTGAATACACTTTGTCAGAGACATTGTTTGTTCAGTTTTGCTGGTGAAGATTCTCAGTCATTCAGGTCATAGTCATTCCAAAAAAGTTACAAAGTTAAAAAAAACAAACCACTGGACTTTGTTTTCTATGTTTGAAGATGTTTCGCTTCTCATCCAGAAATCTTTCTCAATTCAAAATGTCTGGAGTAGTGTTGAGTTCTAGGTTTATAAAATGGCCCAAACAAAAGCCTTGTTTTGGCTTAAAAAACATGCAAGTTGAACAAAAACACTGGCAAACTCCTTAGTAATGGGGAGTTGTTGAGGTCTTTGTTATCCTGGCTGACCAGGTGAGATGTTTTGGTCTCCTGCATAGCAATGAGGATTGAGATGATAGTGGGAAGGAATCAACTCTCTCTATTGCTGCGTTGTAGGAAACCGTGGCAGACCAAACCAGATGAAAGTGCGCATTCAGCTCGGCAAAGAACTCATGCTCTTCCTCAACACTGAAGTCCTCAGACATTTTTCTTTCGTTGTTTCTTTCTTTGCACAGGTAAACAGCACATTTCTTCTTCTACCCTTGCATTATCGGCAGAGCAGACTCTGAATGCGCACTTTCATCTGGTTTGGTCTGCTGCGATTTCCGTAGAGTCGTGAACTCGCAGGCGCGCGGTTTTAGGAAATCCTCTACACTACTGTTTATGCTCTAAAAACATTCTAAATGACTTCGTTTCGAGTAAATTATGGACGCTACCCACTCAGGACACTTGGAATACATTGGACGAGCAGTATGGAGGAATATTGACACGTTTTTTGTGGACTTTTATGGACCTTTCTGCCTCGGGCGCCATAGACCTCCATTATTTGAATGTCAGCAGACAGCAAGAAGCCTCCCAGATCTCCAGATGCATTTGAGATATCAAAAAAGTACTCCAGAGTGTTGTTCAGCATGGGGGTGAGTAGAAAATGAAGGCTAATCATGTTTTGGGTGTACTATTCCTTTAAGGTTGGTTTCTCCCTCTTAACATAAATGGCTTCCTTCACACCCCTTTCAAACCACCCGTCTTCTTTGTCCAAAATGTGAACTTTCTTGTCTTCTAACTAGTGTCCTTTGTCCTTAATCTGTAGGTGGACCACAGAGTCGTGTCCGGAGGAGGTAGCCTGCCTGTGCTTAGCCATGCATCTTTTGATTGGTATTCCTCACTGCATTGAACTGCATACACCCCTATGCTCATCTTATGTCTGGGGGGTTTTGTCTTTAGGACTGGTCTCTGCTTATGGATCTTGTTTGTTTTGAAATGTACTGGGATTTGGAGAGAATCTTCAGTTTGTCAGAGACTCCAGGAACATATGGGATGGATGTTTGGTTCTATCCATAGAAAACAGGACATAAGTAAACATATTTGGAAAAATAATTAGAAACTTGCTGACATTGTTGCTTATTTTTTCTGCACGAACAATAATTTACAAGTTGGAAATAATTGCTCAGGTGAGACTGATGCTCTCTTTGCAGTTGAGAATAATTTGTTCTTGTATCTATAGAGCTGGCACATGAACTGATGAGTTTCGCTGTCACATCTTTGATCTAATTCATTGTATAGCTTGTATTATTTTAAATATTGCAGCCCCTTCATATTGAACAGATTTTCTCAACGTCCAGATAGCAGAGGGAGCATTATGGTCAACCAGCTGGTTTCTCCTCCTTGTTCCAAATGGAAACATAAGGCAAACAGCTCCCCTATCCTTATTCACACCACGCAGACTTACAGTTACTTCTCTGCTTGAAACACATCTCTTTCCTTTGACTTTTTATATAAGCAGAGCGTAAGACCTACTGAGCACTTCACATTTATTGACAACCCTGCAAAGGTGCTTAGATTGATTTAAAATAAACTTCTCTTGTCAAGATTGCTGAAAAATTCCAACTTGTCATTTGTTTAATTTTCATTTTTTGTCACATAAACATTCAAAGTTTCTTGAACAATACAAAATGTTTTGATCAAATGATTATTATGTAGAAAGGATCCTTACTGTAAGTCCACCGCTGAATATGCTGGCCCTGGCAAATTTGTGGATACCAGAAATAAAATTATTTTGACATTGTCAACAACATGATGGTAAAATTAGTACAGATTCTATCAATCTTCCAGGGTCCTTTCAATTCCTTCAGAAACTTGTTAGTTGGGCTAATAAGAACAGAATACAAGAGAAGAATTAGAGCTCTGGAGGATCTTGAACACTTTGCCAAGTCCCCATCTATTTGTATGTTCCTGCTTTGTCTAATTTTATCGGAGAAAAAACTAATGTAGCATTTGATTTTTCTCAGGAGTTAAAGTTTGCACCCACGCCCCCAACCTTTCTGAGCTGCTTCACTCCCACACACTTGCCCGCTCCCTCAGGTTTTCTAACCAGCAGCTCCTTATTGCCACTTAACTCCAAGGTTGTTGATTGATCTCCCATCGCATGTAAGACAGGCCCTCTATCCTGCATAGTTTAGGGATTTTGGTAAATCACCTTTTTTCACAACCTGAGAGGTTAACTCTACTTTTACTTTTACTTTTTTAATTATTTATTTAAATAAATCTTACACTGCTTTTTTTTTTTTTAGTATGTTTTGTCTATTTTATCTTATCTGTTTTTACTGATCTATTTTAATTTTACTGTTATCAGTTGGTATACACAGTTTATACATCACTTAAATAATCTTCATTACTTTAAATCACTTTATAAATACAGGTGGTGCATTATGGTATGGAAGTGACACCAGACCAGCGCTGAGGTATTCCAGTAACCAGATTAAACTACTCTCAACACCATGTTTCCACTGCTTTAATGGGAAGTAAATAAGTAAATAATTTAAAAGCATTTCTCTATACGAGTACCAGCGGCCATTTTAGATGCAGAGTTGGAACTGGCTCATTGAGCTCCACCTTCACAGTCAGGATTCAGATTTATAGAAGACATTTTTACCAATTTTCCTAATCAGAAATCATGACTTAAGACAGCAGAGATAATTAACCATAAGCCCTGTCCTAATGGCTAAAGAGGGATGTTGACAAAGTCATATTAGTGTCATGCTGACAAATTTGCAAACATATAAAAAAAAAAAATCTTAGCATGGATACAAAATAAATTTTCTATAACTAAAGTTCGATTTTTCTTGTGATGAAATTTTCCCGCTTCTGATGAAAAGATAAAACCTCAGCTGTGTGCGGCAAACAAGCGCTTTCTATTCATTTCACAGTGATTTTAAGATGTTTTTTTACCCTTATTTCAATGGGAGACATCAGGGGAAAAAAAGTCTTAATCTATGTCTTTTGACATTATTAATAGAAGTAAATTAAGTAGCTTAACTCCCAGAGTCTCTCATATCCTCTTTGGGTCTTTCCTGGATTCCCTTTCCATATTTTCTAACACAAACTGCAAAATAATGTAACAGTCAGATTTGGGGACTGAAAAGGACCTTAAAAATGGTCAAATGAAGAAAAACCTTCCCTTTAAAAGATTTAAAGGCAGCCTAATAAAGACATGAGGGAGCAGCCCCTTTTGATGGTCAGTTGAGGTCTTAGTCCCTGTGCTCTTACCCCCTCTGCTGGAGAGACGATGACCCTTATGCAGACCAGGGTCCTGCTGTCACAGATTTTGCGCTTCTTTGATCATTGCACACATCTCCCTCAGTCACCGAGCTCAGGGTAACTCTGTGAGAGCCTGTTGGGGCTGCAGCCCAACCGGCACCTCGGTGAGGCTTTAATTTGCCTTCTCCCAGCAGAGACGGTGCTCTGTTTGTTTTGCGGGTGTGCAAATTATTCGTTTGCTCAGTAATGACGTGGGAGAGCTAATTAGGGCAGTGTTGATGGGTGCATTAATTAGTCTCTAGCGTGTGATGCTAATGAGACCCTGATTTGGAGTGCGTGTTTGTGTTTGCATGAGTGTAAGTCATGTATCTGTGAAGGCCTTGCACTGTAGGTCATGCCATGAGGAATGTATTATCAGAGCATGTGTGAATGTGTGTGTTCAGATGATGGACGCAGAAGCACCATATCTGTGTATAAGAGCCTCTTTAATCCCTGTTATTCCAGCATGTCGTCCATGCCTGGCTGAATATTGATCCCTCCACTGAACCATCACACACTCTGGAAGCAGAGAAGTATAGAAGGGGTCCGTCACACTGTGTTGGCTTTGGTGCTACAGCTGCGTCACTATCATAAATTCATCCTGAGCTGTAAAAACATCCAGGACACACGCAGAAACAGAAGAAAAAAATACAAAAACACAGACACAGGCAGTGGTAATGGATGAGAGGCTGTTTTATAAGTGTGTTCAGTGACAGGTCCACTTTACAGAGAAGAAGGCTCTGCCTGTGTGTGGTCACAGCAGGGGAGTCATACTACAGAGTGGCAGCGAGAAAGGGAGAAGGTGGTGGGATGTTGGAGGAATTTATGGCACATTACTGATTTGTCATAGCAGAAGTAAAGAATATGGGGTCTGTAGTAAGGGTGGGGTGGGGGGGGTCTATTCTGATCATATTTATTCATGACTATCCTGTTACACATAATCCATTTAGTGTTTCCGTTGGGCTGTCCTCTCCTGCTTCATGCTGCCACTCATTTCTTTGTCCCTTCTTCCTTCTCCTGCAGAACTGTGGAAACAGAAAAAAAAAACATCAAATGGGCTGTAGATGCAAAATACAATCAGTCCTGTGCAGAAGTATTCAACCCCTTTTGAGATTTTTCACATGGTGTGACATTGAAATAAAAAAATCATCAAAGTCAGGATTCTATATGTGACAGAGAGGAGGTCTGCAGCCTGTAGCTCCAGGGGTCACAAGTGAATCTTTGGTCCCTTCACTGCAGCTTTAAAGAAAATATATCAAATAAAGTCTTATAACTATAAAGGAAAAAGAAGAGTTAATTTTAGTAGTTCTTTTTGAATATCTTATCTGACTTCTGGATAGAAAATATGCATTTTTGAGTTTTTAGCGTTAATGTTAATAAAATCAACTCTTTCTAATCTCAATGCATTAAAAAAATAACCCAAAACTTTTAAGTTTAGTAACATCTCATCAGGCTTATTTTTACTTAATAGGAATAATATGTTACATTTAGTGCTTAGAGTAAAAAATATAAGCATAAACCAGCTGCTTTGGTTCTTTTAAAAATATAAAAAAAAGTGTGAGATAAATTTAAAGCTGGCAGGAAAGAAGTAAATGAAAATTCTGGAGTTGGTATTGAACACTAAATCCTCTAAAAATGAGGAATTTGAACTGAAAACTGTCTCCAGCAGTAAATCCGTGTGTGATAGTAATCACTTTAAGGAATTTCTCTAGAGGAAAGCTAAAAGTAGAATGGATCCCTTAAAAGAGCAAATTCGATTTGAATTATGCTTTAATTTGACTTAATAAATGAATGAGGTTGTAAAAATGAGCGATTGCATCAGCAGGAAGTTAAAGGGACATCTTTGAGATACTCCAGGCTGTCAGCCTGCAGCTTTATCCATGATCTATAACGCAGGCCAAAAAACATCCTGGGCTGCAAAATGCAAGAACTCACTCTGCGTATCTGAGCTTCTGCTGCCTGCTTCTTTTTCAGCCGACAGAAGCTATGCTTCAGCGTCGGACATAATGCTGTTACCTTGGTAATTTTGAGCAGCAAAGTTCATGGAATTGGATTGGATTTTAAATTTCAGAATCAAGTTTATTGCTAAGTAGGTTTGCACCTACAACACAGCCAATTGAAAAGTGTTAAATAATATGGCGTTAGTAGACTCTGTTCAAAGACAGCGTTAATTTAGCTCTTAATAGAGTTATATTTTACAAATGTAACTCTGAGGTGTCACATGCCAGTAGTTAAAATTGAGTGCTAAAAAATTGTGTTACATAATAAATCTGGAGGTGTTAAAATGGAAAAATAACTCTTTGTCTACTCTCAATTTACCGGTCGATCTACGTTCCTACCCTCATCTATGGT